AGGTTCTTGCTCTTCTGCGTTCATGGTGATGCACGACAAGATAGCCTTGTTCAGTGGGAGATGGAGGTCTGCAAACTGCCACGATTGTCACTCAATGGAGTTCGTTTCAAGAGAATATCTGGGACTTCTATTGCATTTAAGAACATTGCATCCAAGATAGCAAACGAGCTTAAGCTGTAAAGAGAAACTAAATTTTCTGGGATCAGGGAAGATTCATACATGATCTACACTTTGAATGTACTGGTTACGCCTAATGTGATTGGCCTGTGAAACTCCCCATGTAGAAATTGCCCTTATTGCAATAAGGTTATACATAGTTATTCAGAATTGTAAAGTTAAATCCAGTATGACCTATATTAAAAAACTGTAGCTGAAGAAGTTATGTTCACATGTACAGGTAAGTATATAGAGCATTCTGTTCATTTTATGTTCATAGAGTTGTATAATAAAAAGATGACTGCTTAAATTCAGATCTTGTATAGTTGTCTAGATTTCTGCACAGAAATGTATGTTTGATGCTTTGAGTTGGAAAAGTTCTTCTCTATCATTTACATTTTTGGTGGTTTTATAAGTCTTACCTTTATCATGCGTTTGTTTTTTTAAAAAGAAAACAACAAAAAAAGAAAACAAAAAAACAAACTTGTGTCCTGAGTCAAATGCACAAAAATAGTTTTCACAACTGTAGCATGACCATTTTTAATTATTTAAAGATTGTTCGTGATTTGAACCAAAAGTCGATGAATAAATCGGCTTTTGTTCTACACAAGACTGTTCCTGCTTATCTTTGGCTCTTATCCTTGTTATTGGACAGTGTTTAGTTGAAAAATACAGACGTTTACAGTGTTGGCACTTACAGTTTAAAAACTTTGGTTTGCCTTGGGCCAGCTCAGAGCTCTGGGGGAACAGAAACCAGGCGTAAGTGATGTTCTGTCTGCAAATTACAGTGCTTACTCCCATGGCCCATTAACAAATGTAGCACCAAAATGCAGAACCGTAATTATTTCATTTGAATATCATGGTGTAAAATATCACTTGTTTGCTGCCTTCAGAATACTATAAATTCCATTTTATGGAAGTATATTAATATTGGGACTGTTTAATAGCACAAGATAATCTGAAATGTTGACCAATTGTATAAGTTAATAATACCACCTCAGGAATTAGCTTGGCTTTTGGAATATGTGCCCCCAAAGAGTACATGCAATTCCACATAATATTTTACAGCTAAACATACATTGTTTATAATGATAAATTGTTGATTTATGCTTTTGTGGTTGTACAGTTTGTTCCCATGTAACCTGTTTGTGTTTAATATTTTACCAGATTTCTTGTATTTATTCCACATCATTATGCCTGTAATGTGCAGCTTTGTAATTAGGCATTTGCCTACAGAAAAGAAAAAAAAAAACACATTTTTTTCCTTCATAATTAACGATTATAAACTATGTAAAACCACTAGTACTGGTACATTTTAATACTTGTTATTTTGTACTGAATTAACCATAGAGGTTGGTTGTGCAATGTTATTTAATGTCGTAATTACTGTAATATCAACATATGGGCCCCATCTGCACACTCTTGTGAAGAATAGAAAGTTCATTAAGAAATTGTCACTTTAAAAAATAAAAATTAAAAAAAAACTGTGGTAAACTCTGTAACCCTAAGTTAGAAGGCTGTAAGTGTAGTAAGTGTGCCATTCAGTAATGGCTTCTTGACCGAGATGGACTTTACATGCTGTACTGTGATGTAGCTTTCCTCTGTAACAGTTATGTTCTGAAATGGACGTGTATTGTTGCCTTAGAAAAAGGGTGATGTTTGGAAAGAAAGAACTGTAGCCCCCTTTTTTTTTTTTATCTGATGTTCATTGAAACAAAATCCAATGCAAGTCATCTTGATTCACTGGTGCACTCTATTAAAACTTACTTGAACAGTTCTCATACTAAAGTACTTGGTGTTGGCCCTTTATAAAAGTGCAATATTTACTGCAGTTAGCCAGTGTAGTCTAAAGGTTTCTGATTGCAGGTGTGCATTATGTCTGCGAGCGTTTTAGTGTGAAGACTGCCTACCCTCCATGGTATTAGCGCCTGACGTGATGGAGGAGGTGAGCCCGAGCCTCAGGGCTTCCTACCGAGCTCAGACTTCCTACCCTCCATGGTAATTCAGGATTAGCATTGCCTCAGTTCTGTGCTTCTGCAGTCTCCTGGAAATGTCAGTGGCTTACTGCTGCTTAGAAAGGGATGTCTGGGAGCCTTTCCAGAAATTCATCAGAAGTCGGTCTCAGGAAGGGTTTATGTATCTGCTCAGTTGACCCGCAAATGTCCATTTATCCTTGAAAATACACCACTAGGGTATAACCATGAAATGAATCAGAGATCATGTCTGAACTTAGTAATGAAACAAAACCCTCTGCCTTTTCAGAAGGTTCAGTGAAAAAAAAATGTAGGTCATACTCTGAGACGGTAGATTAAGTGCTTACGACAGCTTCCTGCTTTGCAGGCTGTGTTTTCACCGGGCTGACTTGGCCCCAGATTGTTACTGGTGTTCATCGCTTCATGTAACAGGAGATGGGCTGATGTTCCTTACAATACAGGTAGCACTTCAAGAGGACAGGGATTACAAATCTTAGTTCTGCTCTCCCATGAAACGCTTTACAGCATCCCACTGCCAATTTAATATTTCTGTATGGAAAGGGGACAGTTTTGCAAATAGTGTTATTGCCAGCAACTGCCAGCAGCATGAAATTGTGCTGATTCCCAAATCCCGTTAAATACCATCTTTTTTTTGTGCCTTGTTGGAAGTTACTACTTTGGTCGTGAGCCAAGTTTTGTTCTCTACAGCATTTTGTCACGAAATTCCTCAGCAAGGGCACAATCTGAGTGCAGAAGTTGTGACTGTGCTGCACCCAGACGTGTCATTCAGCTTGTCCTGTTACTGGCAGGAATAAGATGCAAAGGTCCAAGGAAGAAAATTATCAGAACTGCTGATTTTATTGGCAAGCAGTGTGTATTTAAGTGTGGAAATCAGTAAGGCACTGCATATTGTGTCCTCAGTGCTTGGTTTTTGAGCCCCTCAACAGCTGCTCTGTTATGTAGATACTACATGAGTTATTCTTTGGGTGTGGAAGGGGGGCTAAGACCACCGGGATCTGAAATGTAGCTTGACTTTCCTGGGAGAGAGGATCAGTGTGGCCTTTTATCAGCACGGCTTTAACTTGAGAAATCTGGATGTTAAATGCCACCTTGTTCTGCAGACCTAGGAGGGTGTCACGAGTAGATAATGCACACACAACTTTCATTTACCGGCAATTTATTAATATTTTATGGTAAATCACAAGATTAGATTAGGCTTAATCATTAGTCAATTTAACACAATGATTCAACATAAGTTACAATTGAAAGTAACTTAGTTAAAGATGGGAGAATGGCAAGGTTCACATGAGACTTACTGGAGGGTATTGAGGGGGGGGTTCAAAATTTGGTTACACACTTTCGGCTTCCCTCACATTCTGGTGAATTCCTCACCCTTCTTCTTCCGTGTTTGTCAGCGGATGATCCTGATCCTCATGAAATATACCCTGAGAGGCATCCCAGCTCAGGGGGAGACCGAGGGTCACAGCCTACTGTGATCCCTGGAGAGCTCAAGGGGCTCTTTGCTTAGCACCACTATTTATAGGACCACAAGACGATTGTTGGTCAGTACTTTTCCATCCTGGCCATGGTTCAGATAAGGCAATTTTGCTATTTTCCTCCAACTGCGCCATTCCCCTACCTTCCAGAATGTACGGTTCTGGTATTTCCCAGGCCCCTGGCTGCAAAGTGAGATCGGGGAGCCCCTGTTTGTACTCACCTGTTATGGCTGTTGCCCACTGGTGATAGAAGGGTGGTGTGATATCAGTTAATCTTGGACCACAGCTGAGCTGGGGTAAGAGCCACTCCACCACAGAGGGGATAGGGATCTCTCAGCTCCTCAGATGTCTTTGATTGTACTTGTGTTTTGGGGGGCAGGTTTGGTTTGGGGGGAATATGGGGATTTGAGCAGTTAGACTACAGTGTGGTTCCACTCTTCTGTTTTGGGGTTGCTTTTTTGCTTGCTTTCTTGATGTAAGGCATGCAGATACTTTCAAACTGCATATGTCCTTTTTCATGCAGCCCAGTTGAAAACTTTAAAATTTCTGCAGGTCCATAAAAGGACTCCTGCTTCCGTGGACAAAAAATAATGCTTGAGAACTAAGTGCCATCAGTAACACCACCTAGTTACAATGAAACCCTAGGAGCTGTTGGATGGGAGACTGGATACCCAGTGGCCTACACCCAAGAGGTGCCTTGGGGCTCCTGATCTTGGAGAACATGCTGTTGGGTTTTCTCTGCTGCCAAGCAACCTGAGACAGCGCATCCTCATTGAGAGGTGATCGTTCTCTGAGCTTTTGATGCCTGAATTCAGGATAATGAAACAAACATGTTGGGTGCAGATGTGTGGAAGGGCCTTCCCCTCTCGAGAAAGCAGGTGATCTTTTGCTATCTTTGCTCAGTAACAGGTCTATAAATAATAATAATTAAATGCAAACACTTTTAAAATCCCCAGGAATATATTCAATGCTTTTTTTATTTGTTTGTTCTTCCCTGGAGAATTTTCAAGGCAGCTTGAGGTTAGCAAGACGACAGATCCCGTTCAACAGCTGCTTCTGTGTTTTTGATATTTTATTTCTCAGCGCTGCCACTCCAGCATCAAACCTTACTTCATCCCTCAAGCCACGTCAGGATGCCCAGAAGTACATTAAACGCTCAAGTGCTGAATCGAAGCATGCGGTAGCCAAGTTTCAGGCTCTCTGCCACGCGAAGGCTGCTGCAGCTGGCTCTCGGGAGGGAAGCTGTGGAGCCGCTGTGCCTCACTGCCCGCAGCGCCGGGGCTGGCCGGGCACATACACAACCCCGGCGGGGAGCGAGGTGGCCTCACCACGGGCCCTGGTGGCACCGACACGGGGCCGGGGCCGGGTCCTGGGCCGGGTCCCGCCCCGGGAGGGGCAGCGGCCGCCTCGGGCCACACCTGCGCGGCGGCAGCGGCAGCACCATGACGGTGGGGGCGCGGGGCCGCTTCTCCCGGCGGGGGCCCGGCGATGACCGGGTCCGCATCCTGAGCGGCCCGGAGGAGGACGAGGAGCCGGCGGGGGTGGCAGCGGGGCCCCCGCGGGACCCGCAGCGGGACCCGGAGCGGGACGCGGAGCTGGCCGGGGCGGGCGGCAGGACGGTGCGCTTCGCCCTCCTGCCCGACGCCTACCAGCCCCTGCGGCCGCCGGCCCCCGCGGGGAAGCGGCCCTACAGCAAGCGGCTGAAGAAGTACGGCAAGGTGAGGGCGGCGGGGGGAGCCTAGGGCCGGGGGAGGGCAAATCCAAGCCCAAAAAACGCGAGGTGTTGCCGCCTCCCGGCCGCCGTTTGGTCGGGGTTGTTGCTGCCTTCCTGCGTGGAAGGGCGGGCGGCAGCCCCGCAGCCTCCGCTCCGCAGGCTGTGGTTAGGAAAGGGCTGATCAGAAGAGCTTGTTTTGATTATTAATTTGGTTATTTTCCCTTGTTCGTGTTACTTGAATACTTCTACGACTTGTGCAGTTGTAGCAGCAAATAGTTTCAGTGTGCTCAGGGAGGTCCTGTCCTGGTGTCTGGGATCATTTCCCACCTGAGCGAGTGCAGACGTCCATCCAACAACAGGCTTTCTGCCCCGTTCTTTAAAAAACCAACATGATTTTGTTAAAGATATGCTTGTGAAGTGAGGCATCCAAAGCACTCCAGTCAGCTTGGCAAAGTTACGTAGCTCTGAGTCTCCTCAGACTTTACAGACGGCAGCATAGCTGCGAGCTGCCCTGCAAGTATTTCAGCTTCACGGAGCGGGGACGGATGGGAACCGCTTACTTCAGCCTCTGGTGATGGATTTTCTGCTCTGAGTTTGGCTTCCCAGTCGCAGGAAGCACGCTTCGAGAAGCAGCCTTAGCTCAGGAGGGCTCACAGCACGCGTCTGGTTCCCATAGAGGGGCTTTGGGAGCGTGTGGCCGTGCTGCGGTGCTCCGGTGTGAAGGAGCTGGTAAAAGTGCTCAGGGCACACGGCAGCTCTGGGGTGCTGCCTCTGTACTGCCCAGGCTCCAGCCTCGCCGGGAGGGTTTGCAGGGCTTAGCTTTGCCAGGAAAGAACAAGTTGTGTAAGCGCGGGTGAGGCTGGGGTAAGTCACTTGTGTGCGGTGCGGGAAGGAGGAAAGGAGCCTGCGGTGCGACACAGCAGGGCAGGGGCGGGTGGAGACGGGAATGGCCCCACGTCTCCTCCTCCAGTCCCCTCCATTTTGCTGTCTTGACTCCCAGTAAGTTTCCAGAGGTGCAAATACAATGGCATTTGGCATTGCGGAAGGCTTTCCTGTGTCAGTACCGTTGTACAAGCTTCAAGAAATCTTGGGCACATAATAGATACTGAGTGGATTTCACTGATTTCATGACGTGTGAAAATATATCTCCCAATGCAGTGTTTTTCAGGTTACAAGAGGCAATTCTGATCTAGTCCCAGGCAACCACAAAGTGGAACTGACTAACAGTTAGATTGGATTTTTCCCCAAACTGACTCACCTTGTATTAATTCCCCAGTCATGAGTAAAAACCATTGAAAGTGAAACTTAAATTAATCAGGTTTATAGTTTTAATAATCTGTTGCAAGTTTTCTCTCAGGCACATGTGACTTTTTAAACACAGAGGTGAAGGTGGGTCAAAACATTCTTATTTTGACATATTTTTTGTAACTTAAAGCACACAAAGTTACTCAGGGCATGTGTTTGTGGGACACACATACTAGGTAGGAACTTAAACTTTTTATATTCCTGAATAGAAATCCACATAAAAGCCTTACTTCCTGCGGAGGCTGCATCCGCTCTGCTCTGTGGGTGTGTATTTATATGTAAAAATAGATGGTAAAACATTGCTCCATGCTGAAGCCCTCATCAGCTGTGAGAGAAGTCTATTTTGGGGTTGGGGACACTGTGTGAAGGAGGCTGTTGCAACAATTTTATGGCAAGCTATTTTCCATTACCTGTCCTTTTTTTTCCCCCTCTGTTCCCGCACCTCTCCCTGCAGAACGTCGGCAAAGCCCTGCAGAAAGGATGTCGCTACTTGGTGGTCGGCTTGCAAGGACTGGCAGCAGCCTACTCTGCTCCCTTCGGGGTGGGCGTGCAGGTGGCATCGCTCGTCCGCTAGAGCACAGGCTGAGCACGAGCCTTTTCCAGAAGACTGCGGCTGTTTTGGCTTTTTTAGGATTAAATCATCATTCAAGACCATATCTGAGAAACCTCTTGGACATGCACAGCCCCGACCCCCTCCCGCAGCCCAATTCCCTGGACCCGGTGCTCTTTCCTGCAAAAATCTCCAGCGCTTTTCAACCTTTAAAATCGGATGGGGTCAAAGACATGCAAGGACACGGAAGTAATTGTGGACTAACTGAGCTGAAGAGTGGTGACAGACATGCACTGGTTGTCTAAAGTTACGTGTGAAAAGGAGCCGAGGATGGATGGAAAAGCAGGTAGATGAGGGACAGAGAAGTGAAGGGAAGTAGAGGATGAGGGTGGTGGTTGGGAGGTGCATGAGAGTTGAGTTTGACAGGGGGAGCTGAGTTGAATCTCAACATAAGAGTTGAGTCTGACAGTCAAAGCTGTGGAGGAAACAGGTAATGAAGGATCAGTAAGAGGTAGCCTTTGGCTTCTTGTGTCTTTTTCTGAGATGGTTAAAATTGAGTATATGTAAAGATATACATGGATATAAATGGGCTGTGATCTGAGACATGGTGAGCTTTGCTGCATCACTGTTGTTCATCTCAAACACTGGCAATCGTGAGCCCTTAAGTCTTAGCACTGCTGTAAAAATCCAGAAAGGAAACAAGGTGTGTTTGTCTTCTGATTTTGGGGCATTAGAGGTTCACTGTGATTAATATGTTAAAACTTCCCTCTGCTGCTGTGAAATACACATACTGTTTTTTAGACATGGTTTATATCTAATGTACCTGAGTCTAGAAACTGAGGCTTTAAGAACACCTAGCTCTGTGGTGTTCATTGGGAGGGGAAAAAAAAAAAATCACAAGCTGCATCTGAAAAAACTACACGTGCCGTTTAGGGCAGCGTGTTTTGTACAAGAGTGGGGCCAAGTAACCTGCTGGCTCCGTTTCCATATGTGGAAGTTGTAGCCAGAGAATGTCAGTGCTGAATGGAGCAGCTTCCATGTCACACCCCGAGGGATATAAATCTCCTGTTGATGAAACAGGAACAAGTGTTTTTAAGGGCCTTCAGGATTCTGTGAATTGTTTTTTTTTTTTTTTTTTTTATTCCCTCCCACATCGGTCTTTCATGGTAGCAGTAAATGATTTCCCCGCTAGCACTTTCTCTGTATTATAGATCTTTGTAGTCTTGATAGTTTTGTAATCAAGGAATTGAGATGTTCTGGAAACAAATGCTGCTCGGTTGATTTCTTTGTCTTTTCTGAATGGAGGGGAACTGCATGTCTTAGCACACTGGACTGTATTTCTTTTAAATGTAGCAAATGGAATGGATTTGGAAAAGAAGGATGGAAAAGAAGTATTTTTTCAGTGTTCTTTTCTAACTGGACTGTAAATAAAAGTATGTGATCCTTGTGCTGTGATTAACTAGGCACATAAGCGTGCACACAAGTGAGGAGCTTCTCAGCCGTGGCCCGAGCAGAGAGGGGAAGCTGCCGTGTAAACTTCCCTGCATTGTTCTGCCTGTGGCCTCAGCCCTCTCCTAGGGGGACAGGGCTGGAGTCCAGGCTATGAGGAAACAAACGCTCAGGAAAGACAAGGTATAGAAAGCTGACTGTAGAGGACAGGGGTGGCTTCTAGTTGCAACTTCCTTGAGCTTCCCTGTGTGGGCAGACCTGTGCCTTTGATCTGCCCCACCAGTGTGCCAGAGGGTATGGATAACTGCTCTGTATTCTGCACTGGGAACAGAGCGGTCCTAAAACCCACAGGTCACAACAGTCAGCATGTTTGGGGATTAATTTTAAATTTTGTTATACCACTATATGTTTTGTAGTGGTCTTTAAAAAATATATATCTGATTCATATTTTATGAATAAAGCAATGTTGGAGGGATCACAGAATGCTTTGAGTTGTAAGGAGCCTTAAAGATCCCATAATTCCAACCCCCTGCCATGGGCAGGGACACCTCCCACCAGACCAAGTTGCTCAGAGGCCCATCCAGCCTGGCCTTGAGCACCTCCAGGGATGGGGCATCCACAGCTTCTCTGGACAACCTGTTCCAGCACCTTACCCCCCCTCTGAATAAAGATTTTCATCCTAATATCTAATATCTCTCCAGCCTGACAAGGTCCCTCTGGATGGCATCCTTTTGCTATAGTATCCAGCTTGGTGTCATCAGCAAACTTGGTGAGAGTGCACTTGATCCTACTGTCCATGACATTAATAAAGATACTAAACAGCATCAGTCCCATCACAGAGCCCTGAGGGACACCACTCATCACTGGTCTCCACCTGAACACTGAGCTGTTTGCAACTCTCTGGATGCACCCATACATCCAGGATGCATCTCCATTTTCTTTGTAAAGTGCATGCCCACCTATTTGTCCACGTGTCATTATAGAATCATAGAACGACAGAATGGTTTGGGGTGGAAGGGACCTTAAAGATCATCTAGTTCCACCCCCCCTGCCATGGGCATGGATACTTTCTACTAGACTGGGCTGCCCGAAGCCCCATCCAGCCTGGCCTTGAACACCTCCAGTGATGGGGCATCCACAGCTTCTCTGGGCAGCCTGTGCCAGTGCCTCACCACCCTCTGAACAGAGATTTTCTTCCTAGTACCTAATCTAAATCCCCCCTCTCAGCTTAAAGCCATTCCCCCTTGTCCTATCGCTACACTCCCTGGCACGAGTCCCTCCGCAGCTTTTCTGCAGGCCCCCTTCAGATACTGGAAGGCCGTTATAAGGTCTCCCTGGAGCCTTCTTCAGGCTAAGCAGCCCCAACTCAGCTTGTCTTCATAGGAGAGGTGCTCCAGCACTTTGTGGCCCTCCTCTGGACTCACTCCAACAGGTCCCTGTCCTTGTGCCGGAGTTCCCCAGCTAAGTGTAGTGCTCCATGTGTCCTCTACACAGAAAGAACCCTCCCTCACTGCCCCATGCAGGGTCCAACCCTTTCAGGGCAGGGACTTTCCACAAAGGTAAACATGAACTTTAGCTCATAAATTGCTCAGCACAGAGCTTACCACTGACTTTTTTCTGCTGACGTATGGCCTCTGCTCACATGGTGCAACTTTAAGGGAATAGTTTTGTTGCCATCCATGCAGGCCCAGAATGATAGGTAAAAGTAGTGAGCCTGAGGAAAGAAAAACTTGGTGCATATTGGTGAGCCACCTGCAGAACACTGTCTCTAAAATAGACCAAAAATGAAGAAAGAGAATCACAGAATTAGAGAATCATTAAGGTTGGAAAAGCCCTCCAGGGTCATCTGGTCCAATAATCCCCTTACCACAAATGTCACCCACCAAACCATGTCCCTAAGCACCACGTCCAACCTTTCCTTGAACACCCCCAGGGACTGTGACTCCACCACCTCCCTGAGCAACCTGTGCCAGTGCCTGACTGCTCTTTCTGAGGAGAAATGTCTCCTCATTCCCAACCTGAACCTCCCCTGGTGCAACTTGAGGCCATTCCCTCTAGTCCTGTCACTGGTTATCTGTGAGAAGAAGCCGACCCCCAGCTCCCCACACCTTCCTTTCAGGCAGCTGTAGAGAGCAATGAGGTCTCCCCTGAGCCTCCTCTTCTCCAGACCTAAACAACCCCAGTTCCCTCAGCTGCTCCTCACAGGCCTTGTGCTCCAGGCCCTTCACCAGCTTCATAGCCCTTCTCTGGACATGCTGCAGGGCCTCAACGTCCTTGTAGTGCTTGTAGTGAGGGGCCCAAAGCTGAACACAGCACTCGAGGTGCGGCCTCACCAGAGCAGAGCACGGGGGGACGATCACCTCCCTGCTCCTGGCTGCACCATCCCTGACACAACCAGGATGCCGTTGGCCTCCTTGGCCACCTGGGCACACTGCCGGCTCATGTTGAGGTAAGCATCAATCAGCACCCCCAGATCCTTTTCCTCTGCACAGCTTTCCAGCCACTCTGCCCCAAGCCTGTAGCACTTTATGGGGTTGTTGTGGCCAAAGTGCAGGACCCGGCACTTGGCCATGTGGAACCTCATCCCATTGGCCTCTGCCCCTTGACCCATCCTGTCCAGGTCTGTCCGAAGGGCCTTCCTACCCTCTGGCAGATTGATACTTCCCCACAACTTGGTATTGTCTGTAAACTTACTGAGGGTACACTGAAGAGAAAGAAAGAGAAAGAAAAAGTAAGCTGTGGCAATAAAGCATGGTGATTCATGCAAGACTATTTTCTTCCTCAAAGTGAACTCTGTCTCACTGAGGCTACCAATTACTGCTGCTTATCAGTGCTGCTTAATCAGTAATTCACTGCTCAGTGGGTGCAGTGCATTTGTGAAGCCAAGCTGAGGCCTGAGGGCTTGCTACTCCCTTCACCAGCCCAGCTCCAACAGCAGAACCCAGAAAATCTGTCTCACCAGGGAGCTTTTGGGCATAGGCAGGCTATTTTATTAACGGGGGTTGCCCTCAGCCTTGTTCTCCAAGATCCTTTTAGCCTCTCAAAGTGGGTGTTGGACCCTCTCATAGAGAAAGGTGGGACATGGTGGCACTGGGGAAGATTTGCTTTGACTTTGGAGCTGGATGAAGTGCATGCCTACCTTCAGGCCCTTGCTTTGCAACTCTACCCATTGCTGCACCAAACAGGTGTAGATTTTCAGGGGTATGGTATGGTGCTATCTGGTTCCCTTCACATTTCCACCCCTTCCACCATGTTTTATAATGCACGGCAACATAAATAAGTTCAGGAAGTTGGATATATATATACAGGAGTGGCAAGGAGCACCCACCTCTCCCAAGTTTCTCTCAGAAATGGACTCCACTTCCCGACAGCCCAGCAGGTCGCTTGTAAAATGAAAATCCCCAGCGCTGCTCAGTGAGTCACGGAGCAGAACAAAGCTCATTTCTGCTGTTTTTTGCCAGAGCATTTAATTACTGCTTCAGCTTACCATAGGTTCTGAGGAAATGGCAGAGGCCTAACAGCTATTGTCCTTTGTCCCGCAACGCTAGCAGTGAGGAAGTGCTCTGGCACAGCCTGCTTTTGAAGTGCCGTGACCAGGGAAAGCTGTACCACACAGCACCACCTCACTCGGGTGCTCCCAGGACTTTGCCAGCCACAAGCCAAGGTTCACTGCAGGGGTGAATGGCCTTTCTGTCCTCCACCCTTCTGTGGGACTGGCAGGGGGGCAGGTTTTGTCAGCCGCCTCTTTTCTTTGCATCCCAAGCCCCTGTCCTCTTATGAGGTAAGACTGGTCTTAAAATCTGTGCAAAGCTGCTGCAGTTACCTGTACATGGAGAGCTTTGGAAATTTTTTTTCTTCAAGGAGCAATAGAGAGCCTAGATAGCATGTAGAATAATGGAGATGATTAAAAGAAGAAAATGAAAGAAAAATCTCCCTTTCCTTGTCCTTGCAGGAGGTGGTATCAGGCTTCCAGAGCTGTTTTGGAGTAAAGTGCAGGCTGAGCTCAGCAAGGGTGATGCTCCTTCCTGGATCCTGCACCTCTGATGAAAAGCTCAGGGCTCTGGGCTTGTCAAGCTGGAGGAGAGAAGGCTCAGGAGAGACTCACCAGCATCAATACCAAACCCCATCAATACCAAAGATGGGGTTGCAAACAAGACGGAGCCAGGGTCTTTACTGAGGTGCACAGCTGGACAGCAAGGGACAATGGTCATCAGCTGGATAAAAGAAAACAAATTAACGAATATGATAATTAAGCATGAGAAGAGGCTGTCCTGGGAGGCTGGGGGGCCTCTATCCCATGAGACTTTCTAGGCATGACTACAAAGAGCAGAGCAACCCAGTCTAAATTCCACGTTGACCCCACTGTGAGCAGGTTGGACTGGAGGAGACCTGGCAGCTCTCCCAGCTTATATTTACCTCCTGTATGGAGATGTAGAGGAAAGGTATCCTCACCCTTCACTATCCCTTCCTAAAAACGCAGAATGAAATTTTGCTTCGGATAACAGGGAGGAGCTCGCAAAGATGTCAGCACAAACTGCACGAAAGTTTGGCCCTCAGCAAGGTTTCCTCTGAACTGAACGCTGCTGGCTGAAAGGCAATTGTCCTTTAGTGCCATCTCCTGGGAAAAAAGAGATTTCCACCCTTGTTAGCCTCACTCATTGTTCTGCCTCACCACCTCCCGGGGAGGTATCCTGCCCTCCCCTAAGCAGGCCACACAGTTTGACAACAGCGATCTTCAGGATTTTCTGTCCCAGCAGTGCAATGTGCATCTATGCATATCAGCGTTTTCCACCCCGTTGAGTCCCGAGGCTCTGAGTCCCGTTTGCATCTGCTTCAAATGTAAAGACATGGGAACATTGTTCTTGGGTTTTGTTTTGTTTTGTTTTTCTTTCAAAACCCCAAAACACATTGCATTTTCCTCTGATTCTTGCAGTACCTTAAAAACACTTATGAAAGATGCCTCACTGGAGGAAGGGGGATGAGCCCCAGCCACTTTTTGTTTCTGAATCTCATCCTCCACTGGAGAGATCCCAGCTGCTGAAGACAGGACATGTAATTTCAAACACAGGAGGAGCAAAGCCCAGCAGACTGGAAGGACCTGCCCCAGGAGTTGCCAGCTCCAGCATTCATGCATAAGTAGCCCACATTAGTGGGATTATCTTCCTATACAACTGGCCAGTGAACAAAGCACCCCACTGACCTGCCTGGTTTTATGTATTTATGATTCCTTGTGTAGGAAAAGCCTCACAAAAAAGCCCCCCTTACCTCATTGCTCTGAGTCCATTAAAAGGCATCTCTCATTAGTGAAACTATTTTTAATTCTATCATCGCCAATTATTCACCTGAAATTTTTCCCTACATTTAATTTCAGTGAGCTCATTTCTAGTGCATGACTCACTGAACTCTGATTTCCTTGATTATTGTAAGAGGAAAGAGCAATGCTTTTATCCTCCCCTCTTCTCTACGAAGGAATCTTCTGAATTTATTTATTTTTTGTTCTGACTTTGGAAAAAGGACACAATTTGTGTGTGGGTGTGAGTGTAACATATTTTTTATTGTATTTGGCTTAAACCATTGTTAGATGACTGCATACTCAGCTGTGTCACCCCCTCATCCCCACCTTTTGTGGAATTATCAGTAACTGGAAAAATAGCTGGCATGTCCCTGGTGTGGGACAATTAACTCCTTCACTGGGACAAGCCTAGCTTCCACTTAGCTCTACCCTAACACCCTTTCTCCTCATCTAGGCCAATGTTTTGCTGTCTTTGTCATTGCACATTTATTTGTAATGTCCACCCAAATCTCCCAAGTTCAGCATTTCCAAATGTGTACGTCGAGTCTATGCCTTTCCAAATACTGCACTGTTCACATATCTGAAGACCTACAGCATCCCCAGTCACTTGTAATTTTTCACTTGAAACAAGCAAAATCCTTTAAATATTTCCTCACAATTCACCTTTCTTAGACTTCTGACTGATCCATTGCTACAAGAGAGTTTAGATCTGCCTCTAGAAGAACGATCAGTGCATCTAAATGCACTTTTTCATTTGTTTGACTTTATCAATTTGTCTCATGGATGCTTCTGAGCTGACCACACTCGTTTGCAAGATCCATTGCCTGCTTGTACAACCAAGAAAGCCCCAGTTTGCCATGGGATTGACACCACAAATCCTCCAACTGAGCAGTCACATTTTAAGCAAATTCAGCCCGAGGCAAGGATCTGGTGCAGAGAATTTCAGCACAGACGTCCTGCAGTTTGAAGAAGTTATAAGCAACTGAAAACAAGGTTGTTTCCTGTTGAATACAGGCTTACAGTACCCACTCTGGCTATGACAATTCTGCTGCATGAAATATTTGGATTTTAACAAAAACATATATATATATATATTCTTTATTTTTTGATTCTTTTATTCTTTATTCACAATGCTTTATAGCAGGAATTAGTTGCTCCTAGGTAAGCACAGGTGCACCTGATGTGGAGGATAAAACAAGCCTGCTGATTAAACAACTTACAAGAGGTTTTTGAGAGAGCCTGTTGTATGGGTGAAGAGAGCTTTTCTCAAAGGCTGCAGTCTTTACCTGAAACATTATGCCATGACCATGCTCTCTGCAGACAGATCTAAATTTACATCCCCTGCATCACAACAGGAGAGATTATGCAGATGCTGCCGCCTTCTGTTATTCCTCCTTAAGCTCCTCCGTGTCATAGTCTTCAAGAAGAGTCAGAGCTGAATGTGACAGCTGCTTGTCAGAGCTGGTCTGAACAAAATCTCACTAGGGACCAGGTTGGCAGATTTAGAGAACAAGTTTAAAGTCCTTATTGGACTTAGAGATATTTTTTTTTCCTTCAAATTCATATGCAACCTCTAGGAAAGGCTAGCTACATCCGCTGCTGCTGTTTCACATGGGCACCAGTGATACAGCCCAGAGCTGTCTGAGGAGTATCAAGAAGAGTTACAGTGGCAAGGGACTCAGGAGCAGGGGTAGTTTTTTCATCAGTCCTCATGGTTAAAGGGAAGGGGTTTGCAAGGACCATTTAAACCTGGCAAACCAACAAATGGCTACAGGACTGGTGCTGCAGCCGGGGTCTGACTACTTAGACCATGCTTAGACTTGCTTTGAGAAACCCGGTCTGCTGGGGGCCACCTGTCAAAGAAGGGGAAGAGCATTTTTGATCCCAGGCTTGGCAAGCTGGTGAAGAGGGCTTTGCAGAAAAGCTGCCGGGGCAGGGGAACCTTTAACCATCCCACTCCTCACTGCCAGTGTCAGCGATAGATAGATGCCCAGAGCCTGGAGGAGGGTCACTGGGTCAGCAGGAGAGCACTGAAGAGCAGCACAAGGGAGCTCCATCGGTGGTCGGACTTTAAACGTCCCTATGGAGAACCAACATCCTCCCAGAGGGCCCTGCAGGGACCAATTCCCTCAGCGAAGCACTGTGAGAAGGACTTTCAAGGGATTTAGCAGAGCCCTGGGAAGGGCACACACAGCAGGGGGACGCAGCCCCACAGCGGGAGCAGCGGGCAGGGGAGGCGCTGTGAGGGCTGAGCGGCCCCATGGCGGAAGGGGGCGGCCCCGCACCTCCCCTCACCGCCCCCAGTCCCGTCCCCGTCCCCGTCCCCGTCCCCGCGTGCGGCCTGGGCGCCATGAGCGGGCCGTGGGGGGCTGCGGGCCCGGTGCTGCGGGGGCCCCGTGCGGGCTGGCTGTGGGCGGCGGCGGCCGCCCTGGCGCTGGGCGCCCTGCTGGGGGCTTGGCGCTGGGCCGCGGGGCGCCGCCGCCGCCGCCCAGCCCGGCTGCAGCGTGTGGGGACGGTGTCGAGCCTCTTCGTGTACCCCGTGAAGTCGTGCCGGGGGGTGGCCGTGCCGCGGGCGCAGGTGACGCCGATGGGGCTGCAGAGCGGGGAGCTGCGGGACAGGTAGGGGGGAGCGGGGGCGGTGCGGGGCGGGGAGCCGCCGGGCAGCCCGGTCCTGAGGCTCTGCGCGCCCCCCGCGCTGCAGGTTCTGGCTGGTGACCAAGGAGGACGGGCACATGGTCACCGCCCGCCAGGAGCCCCGGCTCGTCCTCGTCTCGGTCGGCTGCGAGAATGGCTGCCTGGCCCTCAGCGCCCCCGGCATGGAGCCGCTGCGGCTGCCCGTCAGGCTCCCTAGGAAAAACCCGGTGCGGAACTGCAGGTACGGGGGTAGGGAGGCTGGGGGGGCTCCTGCTTCGTCCCCTCTCCCTGGTTATAGCCTGCCCCTCTCTTGTACGCCTTGCCTTTAAAGTCTGGGCAACAGCCGGTGTTTTCTTATTCAGGAATTTGCAGGTGCTGCCTGTTACACCAAAGGCTAACTGCTGTAACAAGAGCTTTAATTTTAATCTGCTACGCGGTGGCACAAATAAATATTGGGAGAGATAACGCAGTAGTCACAGACCATAAACCGTGATCTCCAGTCTCCGTGCCGCGGCGTGTTTGCTCACCGATGTTGACTTCCCGCTTGGGTAATTGCACCTCAGAGCCTCGGTCACGCGTTACCTCTGTAACGTGCGTGTGCCAGGCTGTGACACACATGTCAAACGCACACACAGCTTTCTAAAACTTGCTAGGAAAAGATTTAAGTAGACTGAGCATATTTCAGCAATGAAAAACTGCCAGGCCTTGGTATGGGTAATGGCTCATGCCCAGGAGTTTGGAGCTGAGGCAATGCGACAGGGCGTCCAGCTGCAAAAGGCTGTGTAGGCTTTATCTGTAGCCTGTAAGTCCAGCTGCAGGTTTTTCTTGGGTGTTTAAAAGCCCTGTGTTTGGGGGAGGTGAGTGTAGGACTGAATCCACTGAGTAGGCATGGTTTCTATTCACGCAGATAACGCATTAGGGATATTTTGCAGCTCTCTGGTTAAGAAGCCTCTGTGTTCTTCATCTGTGCCTGTTGGTATGTGGTGTGATACTTAAAGCTGTGATTGCACAGTGTTCCCATGGATCCCTAAACCCCTGAGTTAATCAGTATAGATCTGCTTCTGAGGTGGAAAACAGTGCTGTTGGAAGCTGCTTCGTGCCAGCCCCCAGGTAGGCAGCGACTGAGAAAGGAGGGCAGTGAAAGGCAGCCAGGTGCTGTCTTGGGCAGTGGCATTTCATCACCACCTGTGCCACAGAGCCTGTGTGAGGATTCCAGCAAACAGAGCAGGGATGTGGCTGTTGGAGTTAGTGGGTGAGAACAGATGTCATGCAGACACTGCTGAGCGGCAGGGCTGCCTTACGGGTACTCCTGTGCTGAGAGTTTGCTGACAGCCACAGGAGTACCCTAAAGAGCTGGGGGCTTGGCTGAGCAGGACACACAGCCATTTCAAGTGTTTGGGTGCCTGCACACACCTGGGTGTTTCTGAAAAGACAGAAAGTAAGTAGGAGTGAGCTGTCAGTAGCTCCTTTTGCAGGGGCAGTTATACTGTACGTGAAACAAAATTAATCTTTCTGGCAGCAGAAGCCTACTGCTAGCCATCACTGCATGAAGCCTGCAGCCTACCCATGGGTGAGGAGGGCATGCCCGTGAGATGCGAGCAGAAGAGATGTACCCTAGGAGCTGGGCCAAGCTAGATGAGCTGCCTGGGCATCTATGTGCTTTAATCCGTGCAGCACATAATCGCACAGGTAGAAGAAACTGCAGTGTACTTGGGTCAAAATCACTACTGTGAAGACCGTATTAACTTATCCATAACTGTTGTGGAAGTTTAGTGGAAGATTGAGCTGAGGTTTACCTTGTGTGCCAGGAGAGTGTTCCTGGCGTAAACTTGTTTTGCATTGTGCTGCCAGTGGATTTTTGTGCACCATGGACTTTGCTTCCATTATAAATCTTTAACCCCTCCTAGTGTACAGCTCAGTGTCTTAGGCTTGAGCTTTGCTTGTTGGATTAGTTGCTTGTTGCCAGTTCTCACTGGGGTGAGGTCTTGCCAGCAGCCTTATGCAAAGCTGACATATATCCTTTTGTTGTTATTCTTAACATAGATTTGTGTGGTGTGGGAAAAAAACAAACAAACAAACAAAAAAACACCTTCCAGAGACTTTTCAGGGGACAGCTAGTTTTTGGGGAAGCGTCTTGCTAAGAACAAGGGCTGAAATTTACACTGCTTTGTGCTCTGCCTCATGTGCTGACAGGCTGATCCTCAAGTGGTCTAGATGTAGTGTGTGATTTGCTTTGGTTGGATTTTTTTTGAGGAATGTGTGAACACCAGGTTTTAACATCCTATTTTGCAGCCTCAGCAATAAGGTGTTCATTGCTGCTTTATAGTAAAAAAATAATTACAGCACATGCAAATTTATTAATCGGTGTCAGAATGTAAGCTGAAGCGGTCTGTTAGGCAGCAGAGTTTCACTCAGCTCTGGGTAAATTTTTACAGCACTAAAATTTGAACAAAAGTTTTCACCACAGTGTTCATTTTTGCAAATTAATTACATTTCAGTTGATTTCTGGGCCGAGATCTTTTGTTGTTAGTCACACACAAATGCAAGAATAGACTTTTTTTTTTAAGCTCTGAGCACCTAGTCTGTTCATGGCTCATTCTTTCACCAAGTGTTGCTGTCTGGCCATGTCCACGCTACTTAGCTTCCAAAACAAGTTGCCACAAGATTGCACGCTGGAAATGATCCTTGTTCCAAATCCAGAAACCAGCTTCTGCCTCACTAATTCAGGCAGTTTGTTAAATGTATCTAGCTTCTACTATTAAAATGGGATGCTTACTTTTAAATAATAAGCATGCTTGAGTCTTTGGTTTTACAACTAGATTGCTGATATGTCTTATCCTTCAGGTTGTTTGGACTGGATATTCAAGGCAGGGACTGTGGAGATGAAGTGGCTCGGTGGATCACCACTTTCCTGAATTCGGAGCCCTACCGACTGGTGCACTTTGAGCCTTCCATGGTGCCAAGAAAGTCAAAGGATGTAATAGACCTTTTCCGAACCACAGATGAGGTAAATGAATGTTCTTGTTCTCAGAATTACTTTCTTCTCATTGTTTCCTTCCCAAGCCACCAAATCCGCACATTCAGTTGTTTGTGATGAGCCCATTTTAGCAATGTTTATATCATATACTTAAACCATGTGAATGTTTTCCTTTTTTATGATGAAATTACTTGCTTTAATTTTACCTTAGATTTGTTCCAAGCTGTTGACCACTCACAGCTAGAGTTTGACACCGACATTTAAAGAAGAGCTGGCAGATTTAAATACCATTCCTTTTGTGACTCAGAGAATGGAAGAAAATTATGTTTTTAAAGGTGTTTTGGAGTTATAACCTGTATTGTATAGAAAACTTCCATGTAGTATCCCTTGTGAGGTCTAGGACTTTACTGATGTAAGTTGTATTACCTCATAGTTTATTTAAAGGGACAACATTCAACCCCGGTGTCTATAGTTACAGTCCTAGGAATTACCATCCAGAAAGGGTTACAGAGGTTTCATCTCCATCTTTCTGTGGTAAGAAGCTTGAAGATGTGATATTAGATAATGATAATATAGGAAGGGAGTTACCATGCTCAGATGTCTGTATCATCGGAGCTACTGATGTCCTTGTCTGAACACAGCTCCTGTATGAAGATGGAGTGAATTCTCCCTGATGAGTGCATACTTTTTAAGGAAGTACAATTTGTGAATGCCTTACATTATTCTCATGATGTTTTTATCTATAGGACATTTGTGTAGAGCTTGTTGTTGCACAAAGAAGAAAAAGTATATAATCTGTTCTGGATTCTCATGCATATGCATTTATCATGTAACTGAGACGGGTACAGAAGACTAATGGTTTCAGCATATGGTGTGTCAGATTAAGAGGGGAGGCATTCAGGAATCCTAGCATGAAGAATAGAAGAAGCAGAGAAGAATTCAGTTAGTCAATTATAGTCGACCATGTAAGTTTAGCAGATCCATAAACAAATCGGTATCCTTCAAAGCTTGCCACAGCATGCTGTACTGATATATTTAGCTCTGTCTGTAACACCTAGCATAAATGTCTGGGGTGTGCATACAATATCAGTTTGTAAGAAGTTGCAGCAGCTTATATAATTTCAGCTTCATTCTATAAACAGAAGTTTAATTTTACAGTTTGAGCAAAGAAAAGTGGTGGCAGTTACTGAAATAGGAAAGGGCAAGTGTTTTACTTGCTAACATCCTTCCATCAAAATTAAAATCTGAATGCAGCAGCCTAACACTGCCAGGCTAATATGTGGTCACCGGTTCCAACATATCAGTCCTTTTGCTGTTCAGTAGTTCTGCCAACTTCACACCCATGTTCTTACAGCAGCCTTACATTTTTTGGTGTTTGTTTATGTAGGTTGCCTATCCTGACTGTAGCCCGGTCTTGATCATCTCAGAAGCTTCACTGGACGACTTAAATACCAGACTGGAGAAGAAAGTTAAGATACAGAACTTCAGACCGAATATTTTTGTGACAGGTTGCAATGCGTTTGAGGAGGTAAAATAACTCTTAAATGTCTTTATGAAGGCTTGTGTGTGTGTGTTTTTTTTTTTAACGGTTTCCTTGGGGGATGGTGCCAACAAGGATGAGGAAAGCTGCGGTTTGGTGATATACAGCTGGATTCCAGAGAGATACTTCTGCTCACTTGCATGCGAAGCACAGAGGGAGGAAACAGGTCTGTGAATACTTAATTAGTTTAGCAAAGGAAGAAATAAGTGGCGGACTGCTAATGAAAGCTCACTTTCAAGTGTGAAGTAAGGAAAGCTATGCATGCTGTCATTAATCAGATTAAAGATACAAATGAACAGTTAGTAAATTGTGAGTGTGATGTCCGATAGTCTTTGGCACAAGAGTAAAACTGACCATTGTGATTCTGCAGCACCAACACTACAACTCTGACTATATTCTGGTAGTTCAAAACATACCATCTATGAAGGTATCTGGTGATGAAGTGAACAGATGACAATGGCATTTAAGTGTTTTGACATCATGTTCCCTTTTTCCAAAGAGCTTGCTCTGGGTAGATCTGGTAATTCCCCAATCTGTGAAGTTCCTAAAAATGAAAATGGGTCTCCCAAGAAGGGTTGCAATGTTAAGCTTGTGCAGAGAAGTGAAAACTTAATTTCACTAAAAAATTTCTTACTGCTGAAGTAGTGACTTGCAGAGGTCACAGATCAGATTATCACATGCACAGTTTCAATAAACTTGCTTTAAGTTCAGGCAAGTGCATGCTGCAGAATGGGATTTGTTACCTACATATCTTTCTTTCCAGATGTAATTACTGGTGGGTCATGGATTGGATGAATGTCGGGACAACATTGTATGTAGATTTTCATTAAAATTGTCCCATAATATAACCGCACTTACTTGAAGGTGCAAGTGAAGGTGACCATTTGGAATGGTACAGCCTCTTTAAGAATGACTGTGCCACTCCTAGAAGAATGGTTGTATGTGCATGTGTCTAATCTGTGCTTAATATTTTCTTTCCCTCAGGACACGTGGGAGGAAATTCTTATTGGCAGTGTGGAAATGAAGGGGACAGTGTGCTGTGCAAGGTAAATATTTGAGACCGTTACTTTATATAGGTGGACAGAGATTTATAATCAGAAGCTGTTACTGATGTGGTGCTGTTTGTAATTGCAGGTGTATTTTAACAACTGTTAACCCAGACACTGGGGTCCTGGACAGGAAGGAGCCCCTGGAAACATTGAAAAGGTTGTAAAAATACCAGTGTGTCTCAGGCTGTGGGATTGGATTTAGGTTAGATCCAACAGATGCTGGGCTGATGTTTTAAAAGTGCTTTGAAGTATGTGCAGGATGTAATAATGCAGTGTAAAGTTATGTGTGTATTGGCTTCTGTTCTACTTTATGCAATTCTATATAGTAAGAAAATTCAGGAAGTTCTCTCTTCTTACTTGCAAACTTTACATTCTCTGCCTCTTTCATCAGTACTAGTGAGAATGCTTGGCGTAACAGAAATTTAAGGTATTTAAAGGTCTAACTTAGCAACTTCAGCATTTCTTTTTAAAATATCTTCTGTATGTGTATTATATACGTGGACCCGTGAATTCAATCAGGTTCTTTCTCTCTATTTGAACTGCTTAGTTCTCTATAATTATAGTATTTATTTAGTTTGTAGTGTAATATGGTGACTGTTCATATGTCCTCACTCTCACCACTGATACCTTGATATTTAGGATTTGCTACCATTGATTCTAAAAAAGTATTCTCTCTTTGCAGTTACCGCTTATGTGATCCATCTGAGCGACACATTTACAAATCCAGCCCTCTCTTTGGAAGATACTTTGCTGTTGACAAAACTGGAACAATTCAAGTTGGAGACCCTGTGTACAAGATGGTCCAGTAGTGAGGGATGTTTTTATCAGAAGATGACTTTTCACTTCACCATATTTTTCTTTTTCTTTGTGAACACAGTCACTGACATAACTTTTTCTTATCTCTTGCAATATTTTTAATACTATGTTCCTTTGTAAGGTGCGGCAGGTCTTTGAGGCTATGAGCTGTCAGTCACTTCAGATCATTATCATCTAGTAGCACACATGTAGCAAACAAATCTTTATTTTTTCTGCAGGATGTGTTAGAGGAGAGTCTAATCCAAGACAGACTTGACAGCACTACTTTATTACACCTCATAAAATTTTGTGTCAAGCTTGATGTCAGAATCCAAAGTTATTTACAAGGGCTTTGCATCATGTATTAGATACATTCAGTGCCTACAAAGAACCACAAAAACAGTCATTGCAAGCATAAAATGCATATGTTGATCATGGAGCTCCCGCGTTACTTATTCTGCAGTCATTTCCAGAAGATTGCTTTTGTCTTTTGAGATTGGAGCAATATCAGAAGGAGAAGCTTTGTGAGCTGACTGAACGCTCCTCTGGTCTATAGGTGGGAAAACTGTAAGACTATAGGCTCATTTATTTTATGACTTGTGCTTGAAAGAATTTGAATGATTTTTTTTTTCTCCTGTGAAGCATACTGTATCGGCTCAGCTGTAAAGTAGTGATTTGTTTGACTAAGTGAATCTCTTTCTATAGAAAGTTAGGCTGCTTCTGCAAGATTTAGACCAAAGGGATCTGGATGTGTAGAGAAGTAAAGCTTTATACATCAGGGGAGAGGAAAAAAATAGATTTTCAGTGCCAGATAGCACTGAGCAGACATTTGGGAAGCTGCAGTTTTAGACGGAGTGTGTTAACATTATGCATAATGCATTTGGATTTCTCCCTCCCTGTTCTAACCAAATGTCAAATAATTATGTTTTTTACTATATTTTATATTGCATAAAACAAATAGGGGTTGGTGGGAAGAAATTAATAAAAGAAATAGGGGTTGGTAGAGGGAAGAAATTAGTAGGGTGATGGCAGTAGGATCTTTTCTTTAAATATAATTATGAAGAAAACAAAATCCAAGCCTGCCATTTTTCAAATGCTTGGCTGCCTGTTGCTTTGTTATGGGTTGCTAGGTCTAGAAAGATTGTTGAACTAGCAAAAAAGAGGAATTTAATTGAGTGTGAAGGACAAATAATGACCTAATTTGGTGTTTAGAATCTTTGTTTTGTACTGTGAATATGAAATGGGAATTTTGCTGCATGTTTACAGCTCAGACCTGTAAAATGAAAAGCCCTCGTGCCTTTGAGCAAATTCAGATGGGTGTATGTGGTAAAAACATGAAGCAAGCATATGGGGAAGGTAGTTTTCTATTATTCATGAGCTCAGAGTTGTTCCAAATAGCCTTTTATTAGCAGTGGACATACAAGTGCCCAGCTAGGTCTACATGTTGCACACTTGTGCGTTATTATGCCTAATGCAGCAGCTAGTGGGAGAAGCGAGAGAACAAGCATCATCTTATAAAAGGAAAGTAATCCTGAGGTTCATTTAAAAAAAGCATATATTGAAAATCATGAATATCAGAGGCTGAAACATTGTGGAATTCCTAATAATATTAATCAAAGACAGCCTGCTGGCCTGCCAAAGCAATTAGTTAAGACTGTGTCTTTTTCATTAAGTCAAAGAAGTGGAAGGAACAAGAGCTGAATATAGCCTCTAGCCAAGTGTACTTCTTCGTCCTGGTTCTATCATCACTTTAGGAGTTACGTAATGCATTGTGTGGTATAGATTGCGTTGCATCTTGTTGATTGGACTTTGATTGTTCACTGATTGGACTACTTTTCAAATGGGGCTGTCTTTTCAATGAGAAACTGCATCTGTGTTCCTATTAGGAAAATGCCATAGATCTAAAACCCCGATTCACCCTGTAAAAGGCCCTTAGAAGAATTTAGAATCCCTAAACCAGGTATGCGTCCGAGTATAACAGATTTGACAATTGACACTGAAATCAATTATGTGATGAAAGAGGGACATAGATGGGAGCTGGAGAGGGTACCTAATTAACATTGCAATATAAACATCTCATATGAATGTTACTGTTGTAACTTTAGAAATTGTATTTGATTTTGCTAAAGCCATTTAGAAATTTGAAAAGCATGTAAATCATAAAACTATTTTTTTTAATTGTGCACTTAAAGATGTTTAATTATTTTTTAACTGTAGAGAAAAAAGACACAAGTATAAACTTCTGTTGAATTGTAACCGTTGTAAGGTGTGAAATTTGTGAATGTTTTTTCTGTGTTTTCCTTTTTCATATTTTACTTCTGGTGCTGTTTACCGGATCTCATACATAATTGTTTTTTCTTTCAATCTTTATTTTTTTAATCTTACTGCAAAGTTCAAGAAAATACCCAGTTAATCAGAGGAAGCCACCCCCATGCATAAGAAAGCAGAACCATGAGATGTGAGTAGTCAGCAGGCTCAGCTTCACAACCCTATGATTTTAGATGATGGAAAAGATGTTTACAGACCGTCATCTTTTCTCCACAGACATATAAAAACAGGGCCAATTCATTTGAAAGCAGGGAAGTAGTATACTCAAGTCAAGAGATGTGAAATAGGAAATACGCCTGAAGCATGAAGTCAAATCCTGGTTTACAGCATTTTTTGGGCTAGTGTAATTCTTGCAGAAAACTGAGATGGGAGAACATTCCTTGCAGGCAGAAATTTCGTGGTTGCTTAGGATTCGATATGGGTACATCTTAAGTTAAAACTTGACCAGGAAAAGAGAAAGAACTCTATTTCTGCATCTTAAGGAGGAAAAAAAAGGTCCTTTAAAGGCATTGCTCCAGTTCCCTATAGGAAGAAAAGAGGTTCCTGGCTTTTGCCACTCTTAAGTAGCAAAGGTTTTAAAAAGGATTGCCAGAAGGCATTCATTCCGTATCTTTTCTAGCACCTTAAATTGTCTTATTCTCAATTGGAGATCTGTAAGAAGTTCCCTGTACTAGGCAGCTGCAGGGCTGAAGACTAACTTCAGACTTAGCTAAATGAATTTTCTCCTACCTGTTCAGACTATAGACTCAATGAAGGCTGTGGCATGTCTTTGTAAAGAGCTGGGGTAGGAATCAAATTTTTCTGACTATGTAAGGCTAGAGCATCTCCGTTTGCTTTTGGACCATATGCGTTAGGCTCCTAGCTGACTGAAATCTCGCTTTTCCTGCAGCATTGCAGAGCAGTGCTGGTACTGTGCTTCATCGAAGCACTAACCCTCGTAGCCTCTTTGCTGTTGAACTCCAAAAACAATAGCTCCATTTATTATTGATTGAGATAACGTCTTCCAAAGCTTCTGAAGGATGATGCGTGTTGTGGTTTAACCCAGCAGGCAGCTAAACACCACACAGCCGCTCTCTCTCTTCAGTCCCTGTCCATGCAGCAGGATGGGGGGAGGAATCGAAAAAGAACAGTGAAACTCACGGGTTGAGATAAAAAAAGAGTTTAATAGGACAGAAAAGAAAGGGAAAATAATGGTAATAAAGGATGATACAAAACAAGTGATGAATACCACAATTGCTAACCACTTGGCCAGTCCCCAAAAAGCAACTGCCCTTCGCTCCCATATTAATTGTTCAGCATGATATCATATGGTATGGAATCCCCCTTGGGCCAGTTGGGGTCAGGTGTCCTGATTCTGTCCCCTCACAGCTCCTTGTGCACCCCTGGTCTCTCTGACCAGGGCAGTATGAGAAGCTCAAAAGCCTTTGACTTAGTGTAAGCACTGCTCTGTAACAACTAAAACACTGGTGTGTTAGCAACGTTATTTTTCTCCTAAACACAAAACACAGCACCGTTCCAGCCACTCCAAAGAAAAGTATCTCAGCTGAAACCAGGATAACGCTTCAGTCACAGCGAGCACAATTATACGGACTGACTCATGGATAGTTATTTTTGACAGACCTCCCTCTCCTGCCTTGGCATAAATCAAAAGTGATGGCTGAATCTCTTAACTTCATTTTACCAAGATTTCACTCATAGAAGTGTAGGGCTGAATTAAAATCAGCTGGGTCACAAAGTATATTTTTCTCTGTCAGAAACAAAGCAATAGGTATTAAATTCAGACTCGGGGAATGCGTGCTTCATCTGTGTCCACGTACCACTGGGCACTTCCCATTATGCTATGAAAACTTCAGGTTTGTAGTAAACGATCAAAGGCCACAATGAAAAAGATCATGGGAGAGATCAAGAGTGCCAACAGCATCCTAGATCACTTCAAAGGTAAAGCTGGAGCTCCTGATCTGGTCCCAGAATAGGAATCTTTCACTGTGATTACACTTGTGTGGTTTGGTGGTCAATACTAGCTCCATGCTCCTTGGACAGAGCAGAGTAAGGCAGAGCAGAATATCACTTTAATTCCAATTAGCTCAAGTGACAGGAGACATGAACTTTCTCTCAGCTCTCCTTTATTCCTACATTTGTTTGATAGGCCTAAAGCTGTCAGACAATGGTTTACCACATCCCAAGCCACCTGGCCTTTAGCAGAACTTACTCTCCAGCTCATGCTCTCGTGTTCAGAAATGTACCCTGGTGAGTCACAAACATCCTAATGGGGTGGCGTGAGAGCTGCTGTGTGAGAGCTACTCCTGGAAGAGTACCAGGAAGCCAGATAGGTCCATCAAGCTAAACTTCGCTGTAGAAAGTCTGGAAAAACATCTGATCCTTTCAGGCTTCTGAGAAAAGTACCTGCACAGCCCCAGAAGTGATTGAAGAAGCTGCATTTACTGTCTCCAGCTGCACCAGAGGTCATTTAGGTTGGACATTACAAAAAAATTCATTCACAGGGAGGGTCAAGTACTGGAACAGGCTGCTCAGGGAGGTGGTGGAGTTCCCATCTCCAGAGGTGTTTAAGAGGTGTGCAGATATGGCACTAAGGGACATAGTTTAATGAAGGGACTCAAAAGGTCAGGTTGATGGTAGGACCTGGTGATCTTGAAGATTTTTTCCAACGTAGATGGTTCTATGATTCTGTGATCTCCCTCCTTGCGAAGGAACCCTTCATCTGCTAAACAAGGTGGCAATGCTGGCTGCGCCTTCAGGGAGTACCTGTTCTGGGAGCAACTGTGTTTTGTTTGGTTTATTATGAAAAAGTTCCTAATGCCTCCAAGCAGTAGAAAAGCCTCATTGCTGATCAACAAGTTGAGACCTATCCTTAGTATATGTAATTATAACAGCCATATACCAGCATCTTTGTACCAAAATTGTGCTTTCCTAAAAAGTTCTGAGCATCTTCTGCAGTCCTTGGGATACCAGTGCTTGTCTTGCATTCCTCTGACTGTCCCCCTCCACTGAACTTTCTACATAAATAAATATAGTTGATGCCAGCTACTTCTAAAGGGAAGAGACTATATTTAAAGCTATTAGCTACTATAATAATTTCTGCCCTCACTGGTCCCACTGGGATTGTTTGCCCTTTTTAAGTGCAGTACATTTGGATAAAGTATACATGTATGTCTCTGCCCTTTCTGAAGGGTCTTCTGACAGATGCTATTTAATATATCCTCCATAAATCCAAGTGGGAGAGGTCAGCGTGTTTTAACCAGTCATCTAGAGGGATCTGTCAAAGTGGATTTGGAGCCAGATTAGAAGACATCAAGATGCATAAATTGGAAAGAGGGGTAAGCATGCCCAAAAGTGAGTCTGAATATAACTGCAGTTATACTAAGTGTGTTTATTCTAAATAAAAATAAAATAATAATAATAAAAGATTATATTGCAGTGTTTATAATAGGCCTCAGACAATGTTTTTGGATTTGTCTGGGGTTTACTTGCAAAGTGTCAATGTGTAGTCTACATGATCTCCCATAAGTGACAAAATCAAAAAATTCTCCACAAAATGCATTTTTGAAAAAGCAATTCAATTACCCCCCATCCTTTTTTCTTTCTTCATTGGGGGTAATGTAATAGGGACATTGTATTTCCTTCACTCTTAAACCCTTGTTGTAGTCAGCTGTTTATACCGTGTGTGCCTACATATATACGTATGTATGCGTATTTAGCATTGCATGCACAAGCAATCAACTTTTATATCAAGATGGCATGGTTTGCATTTATAATCAGGTACTTTGTTTTTGTCAGGCTTGCCAGCCCCAAACAAATCTCAAGTTGGCAACATAATAATAATTTCTACTTTATTTCCATTCCTGATTGCTTACTTTTTCCCATGAGAAAATCCTTTTGAATGATGTCTAACTTGTGTAAGGACTGGAAGCTCCATTCCTGCAAAATGTGAAGGTTCCCTAGCTTGCTATTATTTGATTCTCACCACAACCTATTATAGATGCCTCCATGGATTAATTTTTTTTTAATCTTCCCTGGCAGATTTCCACTCAAAATGGAGTCATCACTTTTGGTCAGTCTCTGGGACTAAAAGTGTGCTGGCGTCAGTGAAATACAGCACAATGGTACATCTTGTCCCAGCCCTGTATGAAGTTGTTTCCTTGTGATAATTAGCTTTTGAAACTTTAGAACAAGTCTTTTATTTTTCTTTCTTATATTTTTCTTGGCGTAATTTTCCCCTTAATTTGTTTCTCCGGCCTTAGTAACCAGAAAACATCTGGTGCAAAGGACCTTAAAGGAAGCTTTTTCTAAATGTCCAGCCTCAGACACACTAACGCATCCCTTAGTGCATCTGAGTATTCAGTCATCATTTTTGCAGGTTGAGCACATGCCTTGGACCTGTGGTGGCTCTCCATCCAGTTGCTTGTGTAGCTCCCGGGGCAGTGGGATGTCACGGGGACCCTCAGCCCTCCTGTGTGGCCCTTCTGCCCCAGCTGTGCTTCAGCTGCAGCTGCCTGAGCAGTCTGGGAGAGGAGCTGGAGATACGGTGCTGGTGCAGTTTTAGGCTGAGCATACTAAAACAGCCAAACTTTTAGCATATATTATCACTGTTAAGACACCTGTTTCTCAACAAAGGCCTTTGTGAAGCAAAGGGTGAGGCCACGGTCATAAATACAGCCCTGTCCTGAAATGCCAACCACCAGCAGGTTTCCACCAGGCTCCTGCAGGGACCTCCCCTGGCATAACCTGAGACCACTGAATTTCATTGTTACAGTCTGTGGTCCAGGAGATCATTAACAGATGGGAAAGTGCTACATGATGTACTCTTCAAGCAGACCTGTACACGCAGCAGCCTTGTATGTGGGTAGCCATTTGTCCAGGTTCAGCATCAGTCGGGAAAACCATTGAGTGGCAAAGACAGGGAAGAAGCT